AGCCAAGTCCTCCAACCTTTGGGACACGTGTGTTTGTCAAAGCTTTGTTGGTGCATCACCAACAAATTTGGTTGGTGGGTTTAGGATCCATAAAAGATCCTGAAAAATCCTGAAAAGCAATGATGCAGATTTCCATGCCCCTCTCCCCCAGCCCCCAAACATATTTCTCTTTCTTTTAGCTTTAAAGAAGGCTTTTGCTTCTAGCAGAGAGATTCAGCAGATGGCTAAGGAAGACTTTATCATGCTTAATCTGGTGGTAAGTTTGAATTGAAAATAATAATCTACATGTTTATTGTGGAGCAGGATAAACCATCTTAAAATCTGAAATAGAATCTCTCTCTCACACACACACACTTTTAAATCTTCCTGTGGATATACAACACCATTTCAAAACATCAGCACAGTTACTCCTTGGAGAGAGGCCAGAGAGACACTTCCATAYGGACACACACGCATGCCTATCAGTATGGGAATACAATTTTGCATTCTCCATCCATAGGCAAAATTCTAATACAAGCAAAACAAACCAACCAGTCATCAGGCTGTCTGAGTTACACACGTGAGGTATCTGTGCCCTGTCCCAGCCTCTTACATGGCACCATGTAAGAATCTTTGGTTGGTGGCAGATGGGTATGTGAAGCAAGGTGAGCTCGGCTGCCGTGCTAAGGCAAGCTCAGCTGATGGAGCCTGTTTCTAGGGACCCGCCTCACCATGGGCCTTTCTAACTCTCCACCAGCACTCCAGCAGCGACGAGAACATGGCACCCGACGGCCACTACGTTCCTCGGATCCTCTTTGTCGGTAAGTCTCTGCGGCTGGGACAATGGCCAGAACAAAACCGCCCGCTGGCAGCATTTTGTTTTCCTGTATGGTCCCCAATGAATCCACGGTGCTCCAAGTAATAACTAATACTCTTCTGAACACTTTACACTGTASGAATAGCCCAGGCTTTCAAAAGGTAAGTCTTAACTGGAGATAACTAAGTCGGGCCTTATACTCCAAGCACGTGCTCCAACAACTGATAAAGGCTTCACCCCAGGACAGTTAAAAGGTCCTCATGAACCATAAGCAATAGCTATAGGTTAATCCTTCACCAAACCACTGGGTATGAACAGAGCAAAGGCCCATTCTAATGAGCCACCACACCAAGCTCATGCATAAAGAGTCTACTCGTGGTGGGTTTCAGAAGTAACTTCCTTCATTAAAATAACAGCTGCTGAGTCTCACGCTTCAAATATATATCTTTAGAGCCACAGAGACCAGCAAACACTGTTTTCAAATCTCATTTTTTCTTTGCTTCCCACAAAATTAACCACCTCTTTCCCACCCYGCAAACTGTTTATCATTAATCACTTGGACTTTTTTTTCCTCCCTCAAGATCCTTCTATGACAGTGCGAGCTGATATAACTGGCAAATATGGGAACAGGATGTACACCTATGAGCCACAAGATATTTCAACCTGTGAGTGATCGGGTACTAAATTGATCTGTTCTTGGCCATCTCAAGTTTATAGAGAACAAATATGGATAAAAGAATTAGGGCACAGGAGAACCTTTAGAAATGCCATTATCTGTTTCCGCCATAAAGTCTGTTCACAGCACTTAATTCACACAAATATGAATGAAGTTATAGTGCAAGTCCGCCCTGGGAAAAAAATAAATAAATGGCAAACATTTCTGAAAAATGAGGCTGTGAACTATGGGAAATTATCCTCGGTGTCTGAAGCCCTGAGGGCTGCCAGGAAGCTGGTGTTTCCCAATATGGTGCAAGTTTGGCCCCCAAACCTCAAACTGCTTCTGTTCAAAGCACTTGGAGCCTCCAGCATATTGCTGTTCCCCTTCATAATCTGAAACAACTGAGCCACTGAAGTGGTTTCCAGTTGCAATACTTCTGGACCTCGGGGTAAATATAAAGCTTAAAAATAAATAATCCATGAATACTGTAATTAGTTCCTAAGGGTTGGTGCCTCGGCTCTCCCCTCTCTTGGCTGCCCACTTCAATAGCATTTCAAGAATGGCAATTTTCTGAGGCCTTGAGCCCCAGATCACAGCGGACTGAAATGAGGCAGATTCAAAAGCTACGGGGCAACCAAGAGAGAAGAGAGCAAAGCCATTTCCATGGGCAGGCCAAAMACAGCACTGCTACTTAGGTTCAGTGTCTTCCTCCTCTAGTTCTTTGCAGACTTCTGTCTGACATCCTTTGTGTTTCTCTGGTGTTTTCTCCACAGTGATTGAAAACATGAGGCGAGCAAAGGCCCTTCTCCACACAGAACTCTGAACGGAGGGCGCCTCTGATCCGCTCACGGACACGGGAATGCTGGAAAACCCAGCAACAGCTGAGCCAGGATGGATGCTGCCATCTCTGCCCACTCCTCCAGGGGCCTTCACAGACAAAACATCACTAGGGGAACTCAGTGCTCCTGATGACACAGGGACTGATGCACTACCTGGTCATTTTTTAAACCAGCAATTTATCTTAATGACTTTATGATTATCATCGATGCACAAGAACTTTCCTTGCTTGTGTTGACAAACTCTTCTTTACCTCATTTAGCATAATTTTGGAAAGGATCAGATACAGCAACTTCACTATAGGGCTCAATACCTACATTATAAACACATTTTGTCTTGTGCATGCCTAAGCTAGATCGTACTTGCTGCAGTCAATTTTCTACATTTTTCTTCCTCCAAGCCACAGATGTTTTAATTCTATTTYCTTCTTCCCACCAGCACACAGAAGCAGCTAACAATGCAGCAACTCAGTGCATCTCTTGATTGCTTTCAAATGACATCCGTGAAGAAACCAAGAGGATTATAATGGATTATTTGTGGCATTTCATTATGAACCACAGCCTAGGATTACTCTAATTGGGCATGCTTATTATATCCTTATTTTAACTTTCCTATTATTTAGTTTATACTTTTACCTCTTTTTTTTTAATAGAAAATTAGATTGAACATACCTTCACTGTTTACAGTGTAAGAAATAAAATCATACAACCCAAATATAAATTAAGGCCCACCGGTTTTGTGTTCTACCTTTGGTACCTTTCACTGCTTTGTGAATTACCAGGCTCACTAATATGTATTTTAGAAATGTCTTATTTTTATTAAAAGCTTTTTGCTGTGTAATCCAAAACAACACAAATAAAGCACTGACCTATTTCCTTTGCAAATCAACTTGATTTCATGTCATTTTGTGTGCAGAGCCATGATCAGCAAGTTGATAATCTGCAAGTCCTGTGTCTCATCATCAGCCTTTGAGCAAATTTCACTCTGCTGCCAGCCATGCAAACTAAGTCTGATCTGAAAAGTCAAGGATTCATACATGATTAATAAAAAATGATTCCTCAGTCAGAATTTAAACAGTTCTTTTCACCAAGGGAGAGCGATTCTCTGGCTGCCTTGGGTATAGACACATAGTTTCTATATCAATAAGGTTAAATTTACTACTGTTAAGACATCTATTAAGGAACCCAACCAAGYGTCAATTGAACAACACTATGTTGGCCATACTGGGCCTGTCACGCAAAACTAAAACAGAACCTGTCCATGTGCCAAGCATCCATGAGAAACAGTTCCCCTCCTGCTTAAAAGCAAAGGGACTAAGAGGGTTAAACTTCACTAAGCATTAAAAACACAGGTATAATTCACAGAAGCCACCCAGGAGCTGTTTTATAACCACAAGCTGCTACACATAGTTGTGCCTGCTTCCCGATTCCCTTCTTTTTCTTTTTTTCCCTCTTTATTAAGGGCAGGAGCAGAGCACAAGCCATAGCTGAACGGAGCCGCAAGGGCGGCCTGCAGGAAGGGGGTCACATACAGCACAGAGGCCCACGGTCATCTCAGGGGCTCCTGCACTGCAGCCCCCCGAAGGGCTGGGGGCACCCGAAACAAGCAGCGATACCCGGTGGTTGCCAGCACAAAGGGGATTAAAAAGGAATTTGACTAACAGACCTGTGGCTGATGGGGCCTGAAACGCAGTAGTCCCTGGAAGAAGGTAAATGAGAGGGAGTGTAAAACTCAGAGTGTACAGCTGAGGTTGAGCCCCATCCAGTGTCRGAAAATAATCTACCCCTTTCCCAGCCAAAGTATGTCAGTCAGCCACATACAGACCAACCAAATAGACAGATATAAATGACTCTTTATTTTGTGAAGTACACTTGAAAAATAAAGATGAAAGCTTTTTCCCGGCCTCGGAATATAACCACAATAAACTGAAATCGCAAAGACCCCATTTTAAAAAGGTATTTCCTCTCCCCCCATTTTTAACAAACCCTTTCCTTGTGGAGTGGTCCACAATAATTCTAAGAAAAAGGTATGCATTTTGAGCCAACATTAGAAACAATTCAATATTGGTTCAGTGCAGGCACTGCTACATCACACTTCAACAAAGGCACATACTAAAACCCCCACTTCAGGGCTTGGAATCTGTATTTAAATTACTCCAAACTTCATGTTTTCGGGAACAGATCAGAGCAGGTGAGAAAAAAAAAAGAAGGCAAGTTCAGTACAGCTGTCCAGAACGGGATCTGAGGAGTTAAAGTGACAGCACAGTAAGTGCAATGCAGTAATTTGCAAACACAAAGATTCCTTATTTACCTTGGTATCAGCAGGTGTGACAACATCTGCAGCTTCTGGCACAGAAGAACTCCTGTTAAAATGGAAGAAGGCTACGCAAAATAATTTGGGAGGGAAAGGAAACGGCTGCCCTCACCTCAGTCAAAGGAAAAAATCCATCCTCAGAACTAGGATTACATTATTCAAGTAAAAACTAAGACAAAAAGAGTTAGGAAATGATAATAYCCCCTTCCTGGCTGAATCAGTCTAGGAAATCACAAAGCAACATGCTAAATTTTAAAAACCTATGAAGTAATTACTGTTCATAGGCTTCAAGATGAGTTTTCTTTTTTTTTCCCCCTTCCTCTCTCTCTGAGCTGAGCTATTTCTTTTAAAGCTGTCCAAAATGGCAAAATAATTTTAAACTGTAAAAGTTGCATCAGAGGATTTTTGTAGTCTGCTGTATCAGCATTTTCTACAACAATTTCTACACATATATGAAGCCACTTACTATAGTCCTCTGAAGTTTTATGTATTTTGTTCACTCATTATTACAGTTTTAAAGGTATTTCAGCCTATGTTTCACAAGTCATATTTGAACATGGCCGTACCCATTTCAAAATAAGGTTGCAAGCCATTTGTGCAATTCAACAGGCTTTGTAGTGTATTTGGTAACATACTTGAGCTGACCCAGGAATCAATTCCTGCAAATTTCCATAGGGAAAAGGCAAATACGTTACATGCCATCAGCACTACACTACTGCACGGCCTGAAAAAAGGGAAAGGTAGAAGATAACACCTTATCACCATTTAAAGTCCCATTATAAGGAAAAAAAAAAAAAAGCCATTAAGAGTTCTGCTTAATTTGTCAGTAGTATTTGTACTCAAACAAAACTACGAACCTGACTGGCAACTCAGYTATGGATAATCATGTACAGTGGGGACTGCTGTAAATATTTGAAATTTTTAAATAAAGGTGATAAAAACATCAAGTTTTAGTAAACCCTGATTCCCAGCCTCAGTAACAAAAATGGTCTCTGACACTTACATGTGTTCTCAATCTTGAGATCCAATTCTGCAACAATTTGGTCAACATTTTACTTAACAGCCAAAAACCTTTGATCCTCAGTTCAGCTGGAATTCAACGACATACATCCCTTCTATTATGGAAGCTGTAAATCAACACCAAGATAAGCATTTTCTTGCTCTTTCGCAAATGTTTCAAAAGTATTAAAACAGCTGAACAAATGAGAAGTGAAGGAAAATCCTCTGAATAGGAACACTGAAAATGTAAATACAAGCCTTTTGACTGAGTCTAATAAAGCCCATCGAAGGTCAGCCTTCAAATCTGTCATTTTTTTTTCTAATGTTGTTGTTTGTTAATAAAGCCTGTAGACAATAAAAAAGCACTAGTAACTTTGAAATTCAAGGCTATTGCACTTATGTTCCTTACCACAAAATCATAGGTCCTCAGGGTATAGAGCTTGGCAAATTTGGAACTCGTTCCTCTGTGGACTCAATTTAGCAACATTTTGTCCACAGACTACCATGTGTCTTTCATATCTGAAATCTGCTTCAAGCTTTTATCGACTTATACATCAGACAGGAAATCAAATTCTGGTATCCCTAGGGATTTCAGTGACGAGAGATGGAACAGTAACTGCTGAAAAATAAAAAAAAGTTTATGACTGCATTAAAAATCCCTAGAAAACTCTGTAGTGATGGTGCAAGATGCCATTTTTTTCTGATTAAGGAAAAAAAACACCTAGAGTGATAACAAAACAGTCATTGAAAGGTCAGCACAATATATTAATCAGTTTTCTCAAGGATAAAGTGCATTTACCTAGCCTGAGAATAAGTACCACAAGGATAAAGGGATGCTAAAGCACTTCACCAGAGAGATTCAATGAAACCAGAGTCACCCTGAAAGCTAAATTCAGTCTGTCTCGGTGATTCCTGAAGACCCTTCAGGGAAGACCATCCCTCTCGCTGGTCCAGTTGAGGTACTCCATTCCCATGGGCACATTGGCAGTACGGTCGGGTCGAGGAATGAGCTGCCTGCTGCTATCTGAAGACTCCCACGTTGATTGAAAGAGCCACTTCTGGTTTACGGGGCTTAATAGTCACCTTTTCCTCAGCTAAAATGTGGTTCTGTAAACGTTCAGCTTGTCGGCTATTAAAACATATAATAAATAGATAGTACTGAGTTAAGCCTAAGCATATGTCAACTGGGCTGAAACCCAATTCTCACCTAGGTGCAATAACAACTTTGTGAGCTCCCTCTTGCACCCCATAAGGCCCATACAGAGAGTCCATTTCTCATCCTGAGATAGTGCCAAACTTAGTGTGCTGCAAGGTTAAAACTGAGGCTCAGCATAGGAACATGGCATGCACTTAAAACAGGAAGTTTCTGAATTGCTTTTATCAACGTGAATGCCTCCTTTAGCTCTCCTGGGATTGTGTGTGCYAAGAGCACACTGCTATCACTGTGCTAAAGGGTTAGCCAGGTAACAAGTTACTGTGAAAAGCAGAGAAAAACAAAACAAAACAAACCCGCAAGCAAAAAAACCCCRTTGAATATTTCAAAAGAAAAGCAGATGTAAATATCCACTACCTTTTCTTCTTTTCTAATGCCAGCTGCCTTTGTTTCTCTTTTCCAACATCATCCCTCACTGTGCTGAAGTCCTTTGTGTCATCAAGGAGAAGATTCTGTTGTCAAAAGGGATTGAGTGCATCAGCCTATTTTCACACACTGTTCTTGGATTTTATTCTCACTTGCAAAACACAGTTCATAAAACAAGGGCAAGAGGAATCCACAATTTCCTCTGGACAATGTTTGAGCACAGACCATAAACTGTCTTTGCACTGGCTAAGGGTGAGCTGCATAAGCACCTCTGAGTATTGCCCTCTAGTGCCTGCAGCAGGATCTACGGGTGACAGCATCACATTTCCACCAGGCTGGTTAAGAACAAGAGAAAAAGGGCAAAAAGTATCAGTAGCAAAAGACTTGCCCTRTCCATACAGTGGTCCAGATTCATATATCAGCAGTTTCATACAGCTATAACAGGATGCAGAAAAACAAGGAAGAAATGAAGACTGTGCAGAGGGGGATGTGCCTTAACCTAATCCAAAATTCATTTACCTTCACTCCAATGATGTCTCCATCTTTCAGGTGATAAGGTGCTGACTGTAAACTCTCCAGTTTTTTCTTCCGTTTCCTCTTGGAAATCTGTTGCATCTAAATAAAACCAAAACAGAAGATTAATACACAGCAGTTTTCAGAAAGCTGCTTAACTGGTATCTGCTGACAATTCCTTCTAAATATGTGGTATCCCCACTGGCTGCTCTTCCATAAACACAGAGGCTTCTTGTAGAGAAAATTAAATACCCATTTTTGACAGCAGCTTTTTTTTTTTTTTTTTTTTTTTTTTTTTTTTTTTTTTTTTTTTTTTTTTTTTGGGTCCTGCAGCTTACTTAAAGCCAAAAACAAACAAGAACATTTATCTGTCTCTTTCCCTTCCAGGTCATTATATTAAGCACAGTATATAACACTTCATGACTAGGCAGCAGTGACTCTTGACCACAGTGAAGAGAAATGCCTTCATTCTGTTTTATCTCTGATCTCCATTATTTCTCTTATCTGACTCTTATAGCTATAGCTTGAAAAATTCAATTAAATGTATACATTTGCATCATGTCATGGCAAACGATTCCATCCTTATGGCCTGCAGCTAGCTTTTCAACCTGTATAAGCTATTTCATTCATATARGAAGAGATGAGATGGATGGAGGAGTGGTTTAATCTCCTGCTAACCAAAATTTCTCTCTTCCCTTAAAATTCTTACTTGGTTAACTTGGCAGAATTGCAAGTTCTGCTACCTGAAAAAGTGATCAAAAACCTATTGTCTTCACTACGATTTCTAAAACACATAAGCAGACCCCTAAGGAGATGACCACTTCCTAAAATTCACCTTGTAGTTTATGTTGCAGGAAAATAAGGCTATGCACTCAAGTACATATATTTTAAAAGTGCAGCACAAACCAACGGACACTTTTCTCAAAACAGCTGTCAGACTTGGTCATTCCAGATCTTACCCAGCTAGATATCGGCAGCCACTCAAATTTTTCAGGGAAGTATTTGGCTATTTCAATCTTATCTACAGGGAGACAATAGTGAGAAGCAATTCTTTGCCTCAGTGACCAGGCTGTGCATTCTTTGGAGATATCCCAGACCAAATCTGTGGAGTGGTAGTAGTCCCTCTGTCCTGGTATGCCCATCTGTACTCGAAGCAACAGTTCACAGGGGCTGCCATGAGGAAAAAGATCGACAATTTTTGTGAATGATCCTTCCAAAATCCCAAATTGCAACTCCCTCCCACTCTCCACTATGAGCAGAAAATGAAAGTTTCGAAGTATTCTTGAACAAAATAATCTCTGCAATTCCAACARAAAGTATTTAAGTTAAAATATACTAGTTTAAGTCTCATCTCAAACAYACACAAATAGGCATTAAGTATCATGAGGACTTACCCCAAATTCTCTTCTTTTTGCAGAGGTTCTATGCAGATTTCCACTTTGGCTCCCAGCTTATAGTCACTGATAATAAAACAAAGATTATACACACTTTTTTCAGCCATATAACTTTATTTCAGTTGCCTGCAAAACCTAAGCAAGACRTGATTGCAAAACCAAAACTTAGAAAGGTATATAAATTGCACCCAAAACCACTTAAAAATAAAGCTTAGCCGAATAAGCATATGATTATTTACACTCCCATCTCTCCCTTTTACAGAACTTTAGTTGCAAGAGATGCCCTACTATTGAAACAAGTAGAAGAGAGCTTTCTGCTGACATTTGACTGAACTGATTTCATTTCTCCACCAATCTGTCTCACAGCCCAGTAACCCACCAGTCTCTTGCTATGTTACTTCAGTGCTTAGTAGGGAACCTACTTGAGCTGCTGCTTGTTGTTCCGTAGAAGCTTGCCCAGGCGCTTGCTTTCCATTGTCCAGGCTCTGAGATACGCAGGTAGAGGAATGATTTGCTCCTGACAATACGGCAAAGTCATGGCCTGAAAAAAAACAAGCATCTCTTCAATAATTTCAGCAGTCAGTCTGCTTGCAGAGATGAAGAAAATCACTTGACTGCCTCTCAGTGCAGTGTTGAAACAATGAGAAATAGGGCAAGGTATTTAGACTTATTCTGTACCAATGGTTGCTTGCAACTTACAGCTGGTGGCTATGATGAACATATTTTTTTCAACCTCAAAGCAAGCTGGACTTCACTCCCACCTCAGCATTTCTCAATTTAATATAGCTCATTGAAGTAATCCCTTTTTTTTTTAAAACCACATTTTTTTTTTTTTGTAACTGGAAGAATGAGGCTAACAAAATAATTATCATAAACTCCAGCCAAGTGGTGAGCAAACTCCTTTATTCCTTTAACCAAACTATACTATTTGCACACTAAGATAAATTTCTATATTCATAAGATGCAAATGGCCATAGTGCTTCATAGGAGCAGTTTGGCTGAGACTGAGAAACAGAAGTCTCACCCAAAAAACCAAGTGTTGATATAGATCAGAAATGGAAGACATAACATAGTTTAATTAGAACAACCAACTGGCTGAAGTGTAGAAGAGATCTATAACAGAGTCCTTTGATAGTTGTTGGTTTTTGTTTGTTTTGACAAGTGCATTAAATCACATTTTTCTAATTAAAAATACATAAAAGGCACCTTTTTGCATGTCTTAGTTTCTGGCCAAGGAAACTAAGATACACTTTCACAAATGACAAATATGACCTTCTCTGCATCTAAAGCAATTCCTCATTTGTTAGGTTTAACATATGAAAACACACACAAAAAGAAACTAATACAGGAACGATGTGGAAATGGTAAGTGGCTCTTTAGGAAGTGTTTGCATAGGTGTATTCCTCTAATTAATCACTTTTACATTGTGAAATAAAAATACATCTGTAAGCCAAAGTTTCAGATGAAGTGCAGCAAGGCTTTTGCAGCTGGGGAGACGTGACAGGTAAAATGGCAACTGCAGGGAACATACTAAGGAAATATCTGAGCTACATGCTCAAATTGCCTCTTGGTACTTACCACTGAACATGGCATATAAGCAAATGCCATATCAGAACATACTGGAGACAAGGGAAAAGGAAATAAAAAATAGGTATTAATATGGCTCAATTAATCAGAGTGTTGCTGTACATTCAAAACCCAGYAGAACATCTAACCTGAATCTTCAAATCTTCCAGAGAAGCTTCTCCTGGTATTTCTATACTGCCAGCGTAACACAGATCCATGTGTGTTTGGACATATTCTAGGGAGAGACAGAAACCCGGCAAGAGAGAGAGAGAGTCAATATGATTGAGTTTATTGTCCTAAGAGGAAACATACGGTTCCTTTCATAAGCAAACTGAGCTCACCTGCTGCTGGAGACACCTGCAAAGCCTCCATCTTGCAGGTCACACCATTCACTTGGGCTCGTGCATTCCCTCCCTGCTCCATATGACTTAAAGGCTTGTACCACCAGAYGGGTATTTTCAGGAACCCCTGAAAAGTAAAGAACCTGGTAGCTATTGTATTCAAGTCTTCAAAAAAGTCAATTCATTACAGAACAAACACCACTCGTAGTTTTACCTTTGGTGGGAGCCTTCCTTCAGTTACAACCAAAGTATCCCCTCTGCAAACATTAAGTTCCTTCAGAGTGGCATTCTAGAGAAAGAGAAAGCACAGTGTAGTTCTAAGCCTGCAGGTCCTTGCATTTTGTCTCCTGAAAAAAAAACTGTTTTGCTCATCCACAGAAAGGCACGTAAATATCCACCTGATAGTCAGCACTTGGAGACAACTTTGTAAGAGTGCATAAATCCCCATCCATATAAGTCCACAGTTTAAGAGCTCTTTTAAGAGCATCCCACTGGTCCCATCCACTTCCTTTACACCTTCATATTTTACTAATTAATACCTTGTGTTTATTATTATTGTTCACTGCTTAATATAAGTCCCTGAGAAGAACATGCTTAAGACTTACCTTTAACAATATGGCAATACTGTCTTCATAAAGCCTTACAAAAATAGGACAGCAAGTCTAATAATGTATCACCCACAAAAACACTCCACAGATTTGCTTTATTTTAAGGAAGAGGTTCTAAAGAAAAATAGACTACATATTGTGTGATTCAAGCTCTAAAGAAGGTCCACGTACTTCTTGACTTAACGCTTCCCCTGCCTCATAGCACCAGTCAAGCCTTCTCAAATGCCAGTTGTCACCTATCAAAAACAAATAAACAGGGAAAACTATCAGCCAACAAGACTGCTACCAATAACATACACWGTTTAAAGTAAATAATAAATGTGTGTTAACAGTCTGCTCATTTTCACAACTCCGACAAAATTACACACCGAAAAGAATAAGCAAGTTGCTTTAACTCCCTTCCCTGGGTCCTAGAACCACATTTTTGCCTCTAGGAAGTGATCATCTCTTGTTTTGATAAATGCCTGCCTGTCTTTATGAACTCTCTTGCTCAAGCTACATAATTTCCCTGGTTCAAGAGGAAATCAACGGAAGTGAAATGACAACATGCATGTGGAAGAAAGAAAATTAAAAAGTTGAGAGGGAAAAAGGTTTCAGTTGTGGAAATGCTGAGCATCAATTGTCACTGCACTTCCCTTGTCATTACAATATATCAATGAAAAGGGCCTTAAAATGATACTGTAAGGATAACCAAAATATAATATTAGTTATTAATAAGGATAATCTGGATAACAGTTAAAAATATATTGTAAGGAAGAAACCCAGCTCTCCCTCCCTTCTGTCTACCTTCTCCACTTCTGGTAGACTTCTTATTAAAGGAAAAGAGATGATACAGTTCAGAAACTGCAACATTTTGCAATTAGCACCTATATAAAGCTTAATGTAGAGGAGAAAGGAATTTAATTGTATTTTTTTTTTTTCTGGCCAATAGTAAGAGATTAAAATGCACTTCAAAAATTYTCTCTAGGGTCCAAAATAACTAAAAGCTCAAACTCGTCAATGAATTCTGATGGGAAAATAGTAGCTGGCAGCCTTTTCAAGCTACAACTTCAAAATCCACTAACTATGACATTTCTTTAAACAAGAGCAGTCAGATCAAGAATCTCCAYGCAAGGCCAAATTCAACTTTTCAAAAAACAGTAATATAAAGCAAGCAATAAAAACAGAACCATTATTTCTTGGCAGTGAACCTATACCACAAGGAAATGAAAAAGGTTAAGTTTCAATTTTCAAGGCATTATTAACTACTCTGCCCATACATATATGTGCATACAAGCACAATATTTCATTTTCACTTGGGCTGCTCTATGTGTATTTTCATAGTAATATTTTTCAGATGAACTTTTATGTTTCCTAGAACGTGGCCAACTTTGCAGCCTTCACCCCACAGTAACAGAATTCGATATTCAGTAAAGGATAGGTTAGATCTAAAACCTGAAAACACAGTGACACCAGGCTTGCTTTTCTCTCATTTCTCTTTCATCAGCATCAGAGAGAGGCATTGAGCCAAGGAACTCACATGTGACACCACTGCTATCTATGCATATTCCTTAGCCCATGTTTTGAAGTTTAATAGCTAGAATTGCAACCATCCAGACTCCCAACTAACGGTCAAACTGGGTTCTCACATTAACTGGCTTCTACCAAGAAAAAATCCAAAACCTTAAGATCATTCCAATTTTTACAATTAACCTCATGTAATTTCAGAATATTTCAGAATATTTAAGGTTGGAAGGGACCTCTACAGATCATCTAGTCCAACCTTCCTGCTCAAGCAGGCACACCTACAGCATGTGGCACAGGGTGGCATCCAGGCGGGTTTTGAAGACCTCCAGAGAAGGAGACTCCACARCCTCCCTGGGCAGCCTGTTCCACTGCTCTGTCACCCTAACAGTAAAGAAGTTCCTCCTCACCTGGAGACGGAACTTCTTRTGCTTCAGTTTGTGGCCATTACCCCTCGTCCTATCGCTGGCCACCAGTGAGAACAGCCTGTCCCCTTCCTCCCTGCATTCTCCCTTCCTGAACTTATACATATTAATCATATCCCCTCTGAGCCGTCTCTTCTCCAGAGAAAACAGGCCCAGCTCGCTCAGCCTCTCTTCATACGAAAAAGTGTGTGGAGATGCTGGGGCTTGAACCCAGGGCCTCTTACATGCGAAGCAAGCGCTCTCCCACTGAGCTACATCCCCTCATAATGGTTCCCACTGCAATAGACAAACTCCTTTTTTTGTCCTTCTCAGATTACAATGACACATAAATCACTGTAACAAAGCAAGGACTTTTAAAATTTGGGGTTGGCAAGAGGGCTCTTAAACTGGAAATCCCTTAGAGAGACCTCTTGAAATAATAACATAACACAACTAACCTGATAATCCAGATTTTTCCAGCATTAAATTTAAACACTGAAAAATAAAAGAAATATATGGTGAGGTCTAACTCAATGCATAGGTTGGGAAATTAAGTTTTCAGCAGATCTGCACAAGATTTTTTTAGCGTATTAGTAACTGAATGGCTGATTCATGGGGAATACCTAGAAACAATAAAAACATACAGACGTGGCATACATTCTTGAGGTAGGAAATTTTCAAGTAGGAAATTTATTACTACAGGCAAGAATTTCCACAAAATGTTAAAAAAGAAATCTGTGCTGTCAACGTGTTGCTTTAATGAAGCAAATTCTATTGAAACAGTTTGAAAATGCTAGTGACCTACCTCAAAAAATAAAAATAATCAAGCTGGTAATATCAAACAGAAGAAAAAATTTTAGTAAATACGCTCCTAAAGTCTCCTCGCTGTTTGAAAATACTGGTTTCTGTCTTAATTTTGGCATGGCTGCTGCTGAAATTGGCTTAAATGTTCTTCAAGCAATGCTGCCAGACCAACGCCAACTTGTGTTTTGTGATATGGGAGGGGATGCGTATGCCTTTCAGCTACTGTGCTATTAGTTTCTCTATTTCAACAGGGCTATGCTTGTAACAGGCTCTGCCATGATTGTGCACTATTTTGAGAGGATTGCTTTTCTTGAAAGGAGCAGTAAGCCACACATGGAACAGTCAGACTACACTCATACAAGCAACCAGGCACGTCTGCTGGCTGAAAGATCAAAGCATTCTTCCCCACTGCTTTTTAGACTTGAAAAGCTTCTTTTCTTTCACATTACCTGGTGAACTGAACAACATATGGTATGAGGTAAAAGTTCTCCAGGAACAGAACTGGTCCAGGCACCACAAAATATTTCAAGAGCACCTAGACTTACCTCTTTGACAGAGGCGGTCTCTTCCACAACTATCTCCATTTCAGGGCTTGTGTGTTGGTGGCTCCCAACAATAAAATACAAGAAGAGCTAAAAATGCAAGAATAGTTCTCAGATATATATTTCATTATGAAAATACTATGAAATAATATTCTATTAGGCATTCATATACTAGCAATGGTCTGGCCCCAAACACCACCAAAATTGCTTTTAGTTAAATCAAATATCTAGGCAGGAAAGACAGGACAAGCACATGTACTTCAATTACTGCTATCAATTGAAGTTCATTAACCACATGTACATGTCCTTGGCCTGCACAAATAAGAATAGAAATCTGCTAGCTTAAGCCATATTTTGTCATATCTCTACATTACCTTAACAGCGTGTGTGGGGGGAGAAGAAGGCATCTGATCTTCAGAAATACACATCGGCCTTTTTTTTTTTTTTTTTTTCCTTTTTTTTTCTCTCCAAATTCACAACTTGTAGATACCAAATGCCGTACCTTCCTTTTCTTACTTTAGATTCTTTAGCAAAATACAGGCCTATCAGAGCACAGAATATCGACAGCTGCTAACAGATGAATTACTGCAGCTTAATGATTTACCACTACCCAAATTATCTATAATAATCAAGTATATGCTCTTTGCCTTCTGTAACTGAGATAAAGKATATGAGCCTTAATGCCTATAACAAAGATCTCAATGTCAGTGATCAATATTTTTTCCTCATTCCAGTTTATTACTGCAATCATTGCAAAAGAAAATAGAGGACTATCAGAAATATTAAGAAATATAAACAGAACATAAAAGCAGCACCTGACTCTTTTCAGTCACAGTAATATTTTACCTGAGTAGAAGTTGGAGATTTTCCATGGCACAGTCCTAACAAGCTTCCCATTTTCAGTTCTGCTTCCTTGACAGTATAATCCTCTGGCACTTATGGGAAGAGAAAATAAGGAAAACATCATATAAAAGCTACTTCCCGAAAATAAAATATCCATTTATTTGGCTGCTCTTTAGAGTAATARAAGTATTCAGTGGCATTCAGAGAACTGCACTTCCAGTGTTTTCACTACATCAGCRAGGCCATTTGTAGAATAAAAGCTCATTCCCTGCCTCTCACCTATGAGTTACAGAATAATTTTGGTTGGAAAAGATGTCTGTAGGTTGAAAAGACCTSGTCCAAACCACTGCTCAAAGCAAGACTAGCTCAGGTTAACTGGGCTTGTTCATGGCTTTTTCCAGTCAAGCTCTGAAGATCTCTATGGAGGGAATTTCCATATGGACCCGCTCCACGGGACCACGTTCTAGTGACTGACCATTCCTCCTGTGAACTCCCCTMTATGCAGCTGGAATTTCCCTTGGAATTTCCTCTCGACTCCGCTCCTTTTAGTTTTCCGCTGCTTCTTCAGGGAGATGAAGATTAGATATCCCTAAGCTTTCTCTTTTCTCATGGACCAAATTCATCTTTCCTCCCACTTCATRGGCTCCAGATCCCCCAAAATTCCCAAGTGCTTTTCTTTGGATTGGCCCAGTTTTTAAGGGCTTTTTGATAGCTTTTTGTTTGTTTGTTTTGATTGTTTTCCCTCTCATAATAAGGAGCCTCAAAGTAGATACTCTAACCCAGATGCAGCATGACAGGTACTGAAGGGAAGGGAATTAATCTCTCTCTTTGGCCTCCTGACTGTGTTCTTACTAATGCAGCATGCTAGTAAAGTAGTAAAACAAAAAAAAAAAACCAAAAAAAATACAGAAAACATTTTTCAGCAACACAAAGCTGAAGGATTCTGTTTGTCCCTGAAGGCACAAAAGTGCTAAAACTACTGGCTTTGCATCAGTGTAGTTAGTAAGTAGTAAAGCTGGAAGAAAAAAAAAAAAAAAGTACTTCAGTTAAGCAAGGAAATTAGAGTACATTTGTGTGTCTCCCAGGACATGATGGAGACAAGGAGAAAAGGTTGAAGTCTCCAAAGTTAACTTCTCAGGAAGTGATACAATAAATAAATAAGTTTTACCTGGAGAGAGAAGTTTCCCATTTCCACTAACAGGTCTGAGGCAGCTGTTATTTGCTGTAACAAGAGGGACAAGGAGGACAGAGTTAGATGTATTAACTATAATGCAAGTCACAAGATATTTGACTTAAAGGTTTAGACAGGTAACATCTGAAATTAATGACAGCTGCAGCTGTCATTTTTTTATTTAAAAAGCTTCATTCTGAAGGTGTTACATAAGAAGCACAGCTGGAAATTGTTTTCTAGAGATCTGATGAACTGTCTTAGTTTTGGGGCTTTTTTAAAAATCCTTTCCAAGAAAGGATACTTTCTTTTTGAAGGAAGCCATTAGCTACAATTGATAAAATGCTATAAAATTGGCTATAAAATGCTATAAAATATCAACAGATGTAAAGGAATTAATACAAAATTCAAAGAAGAAAATAGAATAAAGAGAATTAAGACAAAAAAATCAGTTTGCGGTGTAATATTACAATAAAATGAGGATTACTCCAACTGATAAAACAGATTCTGAAAAACTAGTATCACAGAATGGTTAAGGGAAGGGACCTCTAGAAGATGAATATAAAGGCTTCATAAAACATGTATTTTAAACAGGGCTTCCAATTTATTTTTTAAGCTAGGGAAAATATTTTATTAAAATTCATGTTATTTATGAATTTTAGATCAGGTACATCCTGTCTTCTTCAACACTTCATAGCATTGAATTTTGTTTCAAATACTCTCATTAATCAGGAAGTCAGCTAGCAAATTCTAACAACATTATCACGTGTAAAATAAAAGCATTCGAGCACTTACCTAGCTCTTCCTCTAGCTGAAGCTCCTGTATTGCTTTCATTTTTATATCTGACATCACCTAAAAGCAAGGAATATTGAAATCTCTAATGAAAAATGCCAAGACCACAGCTGCTGTTCAAATTCCAAACAATAAAACTTCACTTGAACTTGTCTACTAGTCATGTTCTTACTAATGCTAACAATTATACAGATATAATAATTTCTTTAATATAATTGTATTAACTATAACTTTTTTAATGTTATTCAAAGAAAAAAGTAATATTTAATTTTGAGATTTAGCAKGAAATTAACATTTCACAATTATTCAATCTAACGTGCAGTTCATGTAACATGAAATTATTTTTTAAAAAGAATTAGAAAAGGTACCAGAAAAATCTCTTGAGAAATACTTATTCAGAAAATTAGGAGGGTGGGAATCAATCCTCAGGAAAAAAATATTTTTGATTTCTATACAAAATAGRTTATTTGTTAAAACAACTTTAAAAAGATTTAGCTTATAAAAAACAAAAATCACAATAAAAGCAAAATGGAATGAACAAAGATGAATTACACAGATTCTGTTACATACTACGACTTTGTAAAATATTTTAAATTACAGTACAATATTTTCTTTTAGAAAATAAGAAYATCCGAATGTGAAAAGCATTTCAGACTGAAAAACACTGACATAGGCCACACTGTTTTAGGTTACCACCATTACATTCTTTTTATCGAGCAAAGTAATCCCTGTTTTAACTTCAGTCATAAAATCCTATAATCTATTCTGCCGACTGCCTGTAGAAATTCTAACTTGGAGTTCCACACTACCTTCTCAGAGGAGAGCTTGCACCCTGAGGCTACAACCAGTCCTTGAAAACGCCAAAAAGCAAAATTGCTATTTTGCTTGTGTACAGACAAAATCACACTTTTAGTATTTGGCCAAACGCACTGGCCAAACAGTTTAGAGAAAACGTGCTAGTTCTCTGAACAATCGGATTTCTTACTGTTTCAATAGTGGCAGTAATTTTAACTTGTTTCTCTTCAGGATCCGTTCCGCAGAAGTTTTTAACTTGGAGCCAGCTGATGTCATATGTAAAAGCAGTTAAATTACCATTTGATATGTTCACCAAGCTATAAGAAAAAACAGTGCAAAAATAGACATGAACAAATTTAATAAACACAAGAAAATTGCATGCACTACAAGGGCTAGATTACTAAAGCTGTCATATAAATCGGTAACATCTAGGTGGCTAATAGTCATGCATGTACCAGARGAACAGCCCGAGGCTCAGGGACCTCAGGGCTAGTAACTAATACAGCATCTATTCTTTGGTAACTGGTTTCCAATATGACTTGAGCTTCTGAAGGCACTTCAGATTTTAAGTCACTTTCTGAGGTGGCATTTAAGGATTTTGGAAAAAAAATCTATTCAGAAAGCATACCAAGTCATGACTAAAATTTGATATCTTTTGTTTATCTGCAACCACATACAAACTCAGAAAGAGTTTTTGGTGAATTCATTTACTGTTTTCATGACTATTTTGACTAGGATGTAACAAACACATTTATGTAACGCACATATCTCTGTGTCTCTACAAACGGGAACCCAACTTCAGTGCTACARTCTGAGAAGTGACTGACCACTTGCTTAGTCTCCCCAAGAGCCTGAGATTCAACTGGGAGATTTGACAGCGCTGTGTGCTGCGAGAGCTGCCTGCTGTTGTTGTGATGCTGCTCAATTCTCTTTCCTCCTAGTCTCTTGTAAAGCCTCACAACTCAAATTCAAGATACTCCAAAAACATGCAAGCACACTGGCCACAAGTTGCCCTCACTAGATTTTTCCCATTACAGYGCAAGTCAAGAAGATGCAACTCCACTCTTCAACAGCAAATAAACATGTAAATACTTAACCCAAAATCTTAAATGTTTACCTTGAGTAAAGTGTTCATAAAATCACAATCAGGTAAGAAATAAATCTAGCATAATTTTGAGCGGATTTTGTCACAACTGCTTTTTTCTTAATTACATTCATAGTAAGAATGGTTACCTTTGGTCATGGCTGTCTAAAACTAGTATTGAGCATCCATCTGTGAGACCAACTCTTTTGACCGTCTCCTTCATATCTTCTTCAGGAAGCACCTCCCAGTTCTTGGCATCTTTACCAAACCCAGAACCGTTCTTTAGGATGATTCCTCCTGATGGTGCTAAGGCTCTGCGCAGAGCACCCAGTTCCGTGCTGCATGGGAAGATGTGTTGGGACTCTGTGAAGTGCTGACCTTTCCCTCCTTCGTTGTACTCTGCTAAACGAAGGACGTTTACGATCACTGGTTCATGATCCGGGCCGGTCAACACCTCTGTACCACCAACCTGTAGCAAAGAACATCAGGATTTATGCAGTGCTGACCAGTAATAACGTTTTGTACGTTGTGTAAGAAAAGACTGCATTGAAATAAATTACAAGATTAAGATCACTGAAACAAAGAGACATGGTCTCTCTGAAATTTAACCTGGGCAAAGAATACAGTTTCTCGTCAGAGAATCACAGAATGGTTGAGGTTGGAAGGGACTTCCATAGATCATCTAGCCCAACCCTCTGGACTAGGGTTGGGGACCCAGGGTTGGGGACTAGGGACCCAGAGCACATGGCACAGGGTCTCATCCAGGCAGGTTTGGAAGATCTCCAGAGATGGAGATTCCACAACCTTTCCAGGCAGCCTGTTCCAAGGCAATTTGACCATGAAGGCTGCTGAAATAGTCAAGACCATACCAAAAGTAAGACACAGACAAGAAAAGTCTGTTGCTGGATGCATCTTTCCTTTTGATATATTGCAGGAAAAGAGAAATGCATGATTTACAACAAAAAGATTGTTAAAGCAGTATTCTACCCAACTACAGAGACCGAGGGCAATCTTCTGCAGCTGCCACATAATCATTAAGACAGGTAGCTGAAGTTGAACAGAAGCCTTGATATTAGAACAGTCTGAAAAGGGAGCACAGTATTTCAGGGAGACCATATATAAAATAAGTTAGTGACAGGTGTAGTTTTGTATGTAGAACAATTTGCTAGAGAGAATAAGCTTTTGTTACTGCATTGCTATTGCCTATTCTCCTTTCAGGGGCACCAGATGTTTTGAAAAATCTATCCCAATGAAACTGGCATCATGTAACTATCAATCTGACCATACCACCATGTTCCACATGGTATCATCCTATCTGTAATTCTATCAAGTAACACACTGAATAGCACACACAAGACAGAGTGACAACATGCAAAGAGTACTCTAGAGAAGGCTGAAGTGGCAAATGTTAGCATGTCAACAGCACATCTTCAGAACAGATTAAATTTCCCCAGAAGTGTGTGTGGTAATTGCATCTTTTCTCCTCAGAACTGACAAGGAGAGAGGGTATTTGGTTCTGTTACCTCTTTCCCATTCCACACAAAGATGTCTGCTCCATCATCCAGTCCAACGCTCTCCAGCGTCAGTTCGTCTCCTAAAAAGGACAAATTATCAAGTTCTGCCCCCTCTTCAAAATAAACAAGGAGGGTCACTCGGTCAACTAAAATACACTGGCACATTCTACTTTGGCTCCAAGTCCATTAGTACAAACGTTGCCATGCCATCAGCATTTGCAGGGATTAAAGAATTAGGGTTCACTCATATATCAAGACACACAAAAAAAAAAAAAAAAAAAAAAAAAAAAAAAAANNNNGCTTTTAGCTGTCACACTGGGTAAAGAGGCCCAGCACAAAGGACCACCTATTCAAATTCTCTAGAAAAAAGGGAGGCCAAAGATACCACTCGAAAAATATGTTCGGTCAAGAACAAGAAAGTATGTTCGGTCTAGGTAACAGCTAAACAGTGTTATCAAACTTAATAAAAATATTTAACTCACATAATATACTTTAAGTCTAGTTTTTGAAATATTCATGCCTACACTGACATTTCTTTCACCTTCCTACTATAAGTCAGAGCTTTTTTTTTTTTTTTTTTTTTTTTTTTTTAAACATCAGTGTCATGGCTTATGTTCTGTCAGAATCCTAATTCACAAATAGCTTAATGACATTGGATTTGCAAGGAAGCTTATTGAGGACCAAAGATTGTTCAGTAACACCCTCCAAAATGCTTATACAGAAAAATCCCCTATGTCTGCAATGTATACAGCATATAAATAGCATAATCTCACCATCAAGTGAGTGGTAAAGATGTAGTCCTGCTGGTAAAGGTTTAGCCATACTGAGAATCAGGTCTCCTTCCCAGGATTCCAACACCTAATTGGCAAGAATAGAAATAAAGAAAACACCAGCACACAGTAACTCATACTACTCAAAATTACAGCTTTGCTGAAAGTCATTACAACCTAAAATTTTTACATGTCACTGCTATTTACTTCAACAAAGCTAGCATTTTGGGAAAACATTAAACGAGCATTTAACTATCTCAAACTCAAGTGTTTCATACTAGACACCRGCTAGAGAATTACACTTCTAGGGGACATTTACCAAAGGTTGCAAGGTATACARAAAAGCAAACAAAGTTTCCAAAAAACAGGTAAACAGGTGAACTTTGGTCCAGATGCCTATGAAAAAGCATTTCACAAATTCRGCATCTGTACTTAAACCAAAGGCTATGACTCCTTTTCTTTGCAACTTCCATGTAGCTTACTAGAGAATAAACGAAAGTTCGTTTCAACATTCAACAACATTCAATACTTGAACTATAAGATTTCTTTAGTTTTTTTATTTTTACACTAATTAACTCCAAGAATTTCTGGTTGAGATCAGTGAAGCTCCTTGCAAGTASAAAGGCAAAACTGTCACAGACTCCCATGTTAACAAGTTTAGAACTTTGCAGAGTGGCAACCTTTGCCCGAGTACATGCTTCCCAAACACAAAATAGTTTACTTACACCAGCTTTAAAGTCCACAAAATTAAAGCTTCATTAGTTTTGTGGCTTCTTCAGTCTTTCAAGGGTCAGTCTCAGKGCAAAGCTTCTCTCTGTGCAAAGCTATATAAGTTGTCAGCCTCCTTAAGTTTTATTTAYGGTTCAAAAAGTTTCATTGAGCTTCAAAACTCTGGCAGAAGTGTAGTTATTAAGGCTATTGCAGTGCAGGTGAAAGAGAAGTGTGCATGTATCACTTAATACAGTAAATACCTGGAATACTGATTGTCGCAGGTCTCCCAGAGTTTTTCTTCTGTCAATAGTCAGATCCACAATACTCTCTTTCCAAGTAAGGGAAGGATGCAAAGCCCCATTTTGAAATTTGTAACAAGAGCTCAAATGCAGATGTAGGTCAATGCCATGGTTTGCTGAGTCCCATTCAGCCCTGAGAAAGAACAACACAATAACAAGCTGCTGCACTGAAGACTGACAAACTGCTAACCTATTTCAGGGAAGCTTCTGTGCAACCACTCCAGAAATGATACCCAGTAATATTAATCCCATAGTAAAATTCACTGTCATATCCCTTTCTCCCTCAGTGGTTATGAAAAGAAGCATTCAAAGATGCCAACAATTTACAAAATTTACCACACAGCACTAGCTAAGACAACCTTCACACACACACACACACACACACACACACACACACACACACACACTCTGTATTGTTATAGTGCTTGCTTCTACAATACCTCTCTAAACAGGGCAATATAACTAATCTTTGGAATTTGTGACATTTTTTTCCAGCTATGTACCAGATCACTATTCCAAAGAATGCAGAGACAATGTACACACAAAAGAAACTATATGGAAAGCGAATCAGGAAAGAAACAGCCATGCATTCCTCCTTTATACCTGCATCCAGTCTCATCTGCAAGATGTTAAACGTAATGGCATCAACAGAATAAGGGAGCAAAATGTGCACAGCAAACAGGTAGCACAGAAGATACCCATGGCTTTCATGTGTCTAACTTCTGTATCTTTACTGTGAATCTCTCATCACTGAGGGTAAATGGAGGTTAAAAAGGCAGGTTATGAGTGATAAAATCATCAGAATCCCATAGCTTACTGAAAGCTYTGGAGGTTATAGAGAAATGTCCTTAATTTGCTTTACATTTTTCCAAAACTTTTCAAGATTTTTGTGAAATATTATTGAAAAGAATTTTAATTATGTTTGAATTGCTTTAGGTACTCGTAACATTTGTCTTAAGCAGGATTTTGATATGTAGAAGGTACACACAGTCAAACTGTAAGGTATCTTGCCATGTATTCCCCTGAATAGATAAGGGGGGGACTAATAGATAAGGGGGAGGACTAAGCAGGACTTGCTCCTGCACTAAGCAGGAGCAAGGTGAGGGTAAAGAGTGATTTGGAGATCTTCAAAACCCACCTGGATGCCACCCTGTGCCCCATGCTCTATATGCCCCTGCTTGAGCAGAGGGGAAGGACTAGATGATCTCCAGAGATCCCTTCCAACCTGTGATTCTGCGATCACATCTGCATGGTTCTCATCACAAGCAAAGTTCCACCCATTAGCTCTTTCCTCCATGTTTCTGGCAAAGGAGACCATTTACCTGTTGTTTCACAGTGGGTCAAATCCTTCCCCCTTTTGAATTCTCCCTACAAAGATCATTAAGAKAACATTCTCCTTCCAGAACTGCATTCATTTTCATATAAACGTGGTACAATTTGAAGCTGTAAGGATGTCCGCTCTGAAGTTCTGGAAAATGCTCATTTGGGGAAAATGTGAGCTAAAAGTCCAGCAAGAGAGTGTCCAAACACAGAAATCTCTACAGCTGGGACACTGAGCTACTCATTTTATTGGCTGAACACTACGAACCTATTGGCTGAACCTACTAAATGACTTCCTTCCACCTAAAATCTCTTTAGGGAACTGCAGACTAGTAATTTTTAAGATATTAGCRCAGCTAAATTAACATACCTCTTTTTTTGCAGCTCAGTATTAGCAGCAGTCATTTCATTCAAAAGGTGTTCAGGAATTCGGTACTTTGGATTTCCTCGAGCTGCAACACATAATATAGGTTAGTCTCAGCTGCAAAAAACACGCTTTGGCAAAGAGAGTGATCAAGATGAGATGTTACAGTAGGGTTACCTAGAAATTCTGATTATGGTTATTCTGAGCAATAACATCTTTTTACAGTACCAAGGATAAATTGCAAGATGACACACACAAAAAAAGTTCTTTAACCTGTTTCTACCAGCTTTTTCTTAAGGGAACAAGAAACATGAATGTTGTCAGCAACAATTGTTATTTGCTGGCATTTGATAAGAGTATTGGAAAGACAGTCTGCGTCACCTATAGCCAGTAAACTGAGTGCTGCCTCTGTAGAGGTAACCTTTTTATCTCCGACTAACCCGTTTACCCTTTCTAATCAACCCCTTTTTCACTGACCACAAGACAGACAACTATCTTCCATACTCAGAAAGGACACAAATGCCCAGCTGGCTGCATTCTCCAAAACAAGTGTCAATAAAGATGAATTTTTTACCTTCTGGTGGTCTTTTCAATTGAGATTTTCGATAAAAGAGCATGTAGGCACTCTCTTTACCCTGAAATTGTTTCTCAATATCCTTCTCCTTAATTGGCTGGACTTTTGAATCATTCAGATCAAACCAATGGCAATCAGCAGAAGTATCCCTTAGCACTGTAGGTGCTTTTTCTAAATTCCAGTGGACATCATTCTTCTGAGGAGAGCTTTGCAAACCTTGTCCTTTAGAATCCGACTTAAACGGGAGCTTATGATACTTTTCCTTAAGACCAACCTTATTTTCACCAGGACTGAACTGAAATATCTGGGGATGATTCTGCAAAAACTAAAAAGAAAGCAAGGATAAGGTGAAGAAAGAGCTTTCTAGGACTGGAAAATATCCAGCATTAAACACAGCAGATTGCATTAGCTACCTCATGGGATTTGTCCTCAAGTTCATATGCAAAGCCCTGCCCTTCCAACCTCTTTGTCTTTGGAAAACTTGTTTTTATGATGTTTCTTTATGTATTTCCTCAATTTGACACAGGAAAAATTAATTCCTTCCCCCATCAAATTCTCCRCATGAGATTTTTCACGTGCAGTTTCAGGTTTTCCTTTGTGCGTAACTGAAAACTAACATGCAGGAAACAGTGAATTTATTGGTTTCAGTCTACCTGCATTACGAAGAAATCAGACCAAGTTAATGATACTGGCTCACTTGAAATACTGATACCTTTTAAACACCTGAAAAGTGCCCACTTTCTGCTCTCTGAAAGGAAACCTAGGAAACAGATGTTCTAAAGGCAAATAAAAAGCTTCTCCTTTATTAGACACACAGGAGAATATCACCACAGAATCACAGAACAGTTGAGATTGGAAGGAACCATAGGAGATGATCTAGTCCAACTGCTCCACACAAGCARGGGCACCTTGAGCATGTAGCACATGATTGTGCTAACATACTTGTAACTAACATCCTTATAATAGATTACAAAATGTAATGTAAAAGAAAAACAAACATACAGGTAGATTACCTTTCTAAATGCCCCATATTGTTTTCGGTATTTCTTGTTCCAGGATATCCCTTTTTTCTCCAATAATTTCTGCCCTAACTGATCAATGGGCATTTGTTTAGATTCTTCCTACGGAGACAGAGAAATTAAAAACTGGGAAGATGAAAAGAATGGCTACAAATGTCAAGAGATCACCTGCAAAAAACCCAACTCTGAAGKGCAAAAATCATTCCTGTTTAATACGTCAATCTAACATAACCTTTTGCAACAGCTTAGCTAAGCTACTTAAAACTCAACTTACTCAAAAAATGGCCTTTTTTTGATATGAATGAGACATTTTAAGTAGTGAAGTCAACTTAAGAGTTTTATATGCTTCAAATAAGTTCAGAAGAATTCTGTGTTCAACCTGCCCATTCCTACACACTTCAACCCCTTCTTTTAGGTTCACTAACATCAAAATCAAAGCAATAAACTCTTTACATACCATACCTCTGATAAAATCCCTTTCAACACTGCCAGTGGGTTGTCTACTTCTTTATCATTTTYTGTATCTCTTAAAACTTTATCTTCAACCATATTATCTTCTTCTTCCTGTATAAGGAAAAACAGCAGAATTCTCAAACTCCTTTGTTTCAAGTACACCTAGCAGTTTTCTTTACAATTCACAAATGAGAAGAAATCCAAGCAGATGCTATCGAGCAAGCTGTGCATAACAYTTCACACAGGTGGTTCCTTAGGGAGACGACTTCTATACTACAGTTGCATGTCAAAGTATCTGCCCAGCCACTGTACTTGGCAGAAAGTTGGCTGCAGAAAGACAAGATTTCCTGATAATTTGCCTCTGCTGCCTACTCCAGCCTGCATATTGTCATAAGAAAATTATTTAGAATCAATTTCCTCCAGTTGAAAATGCCTTTTTTTTTTTTAATGCAAACAGCTAAACTGTGTCCATCCAAATTAATCTGTTGGCAAACAATCATATTGAGAATGAAGAGAGTCCAACAATGTGAGCTAGTTTGGCAGTCCAGCAATTTAGAATGGGCCACAAAGAGTAAGAAAAATAAGCTTTTACTACTTACTTGTAATTGCCAGTTCCCTAATCCATCCACATCTCTGATATAAGCATGATAGTGTCCTCCATAGCAGCCACCTTTGTGTATAATAACAGAGAAGAGCTCATACATATACTCTGAATCATCCAATTCAGCCTTTAAAAAACAAGGAGGAGATTAGTATGAAAAAAATACATTAATAAAATCCGCAAGTCTTTCACACAAGGAGAGCTCGACATCCACAGCATAGCTGCTGGTATTTCTCTGTGCCTGTTTGCAGAGGTGGAGATTAAAGTAGGAAGACTAGCACAGCAAAACACAGATAACGACATTTTGGCTTTAAATAACARGCTTACTAAGCAGCTTTTTAAGCATCATTTTGATCAACATTGAAAATTCATATATGTTTCAAAAAAAACAAAACATAATATTTACTAACATTATAACTGATAGAAGARTCTAACTTGTGGGTTCATAAGTTTATTTTGTTTAAAATAGAGAAAATAAACAATGTATTTATTTACATAAACCCACTAGAAAATGACTTCCTCAAACACAGATAATGAGAAAATTACAAGCTTGCACTGGAAGATGCCAGTAAGAAAAAATTTCCTTTTCAGTAATAATGTGTCTAATAAGTATATTCTTTATTAATTTCCAGGATCAAAATTGGCATCAGGCAATAGTATAGTTAATATTCAAATATACATAGACATACATATGCACAGGAACACACAGATAAATTCCTAAAAAGCACAATAGTCGCAGGTATTCACAATATACACAGCTAAATTTATACATGGTATAAGATTAACGAAAAATAAACTCAATTTCAATTTTCAGAGGATAAATCTTTCTTTCAAGTAAACGCCAGATTAAGCTTTAGGTCCTTATTGTCTTTCCCCCTTGTATCACTACAAGGTACTTTCAACTTTGCTGAAAAGTACTGTTTGGAAACATTTTGGAAAAAAAAAAAACAGGAATTAGGGACAGGGGAGAACCTGTGATATCTGACCAATACCTTGCTTGGACAAAATGCAAAATGAAAARTAGTTTGTCCTTGAGATATCCATTCCTTGCCAAGTATACAGAAATTTGAATAAACGTAGCAGTACAAACCTGCTCACAGAAAGGCCTCAGATTTATCTGGTTAGGGAATGTATAGCAACTAGTTTCCTTGTATCTTTCACACTTCTCAAAGTCAAAGTTGAATCTCAGCAGAGAAATGGTGAGAAAGGGAGGCAACTTACGTAGCTTAGCTGACTGTAAAATAATAAAAATAAAAAAAAGTTATAAGTACACAATTATAAAGATTAGCGTTTCACCAMACTACGGTCTAACAGAGTATGGTATTTTCTAGGAAAGCTTTGTTACAACGGGGGAGGCATGACTAAAAATGCCAAAAAAGTCCCACACTTCCTCTTTGCCCAATGTCCAAGGAAGACACTGCTGAAATTTCAAGCAGCACTTTTTTTCTTTGCCCCATGAATATATGCATATATATATATATGTGTGTGTGTATGTGTGTGTGCGTGTATATATATATTTATATATAGCATATGCAACAATGTCTTAATACCTCTGGGGTTACACTTTCCTGCAAAGCCATGTTAGCACGGCTCTGAAGAACATCAGCAGAAGCAAGAAGCCACTGTGGTGTATTAAGAGCTTCATGGCTGCTTAAAGAAAAAGGTCTTGATTCAAGCCTGATAGTGATGATAAATGAATAGTAAATCACACCTAGCTGGGAAGCATCGGTGTATCCCAGAAAAGCTGCAGAAAGGTGAGAATACACAAGCAAAGATTTGAATCTTCCCTCATTTATGGGAGTTAATAACCCCCAGGGGAGGGAATGCAAGATCACCTAATTCATTAAGGTAAGAGCACACATTCAGATATAACAACTTGGTGTGTGCAAAGTGAAACCAGATACCCTCTGAATGCAGGAGCAGAACCAAGGACAGTGCCCTTGAACCCTCCCAATGTCTCCATACAATTGCCCACTTGCAGAGCCGAAGAGACACTACCCTACGATGAACGCCCGTATAGCTTAAAAATCCCCTTGAATTAGGTATTTCCTCTGTGCCCACTGTAAAGTGCTTAGTGCTTCGTGGCATGAAGGTCTTTGCACGTTCTTCCAACTTCAGAGCTATAATCACTGTGATTTACTAGGAGAGAATGGCATGTACCAACATGGGTCAGGTTGATCACAGGGCACCTTTCCCTTTGAAAGGTGCTAGGTGTCCATAAATGTTTACAGCTTTATCCAAATTCCTTCCTAAAGCTGGGACAAACCAGCCTGCACTCCGCATGCTGTCAGTGCTGCCCTCACAGCTGTCACGCTGGGATGGGATCACGCACATCGTGCCTGTGGTAGCAGGGGGCCCAAGGCAGCAATCACACTATCCTCAACTCCCCTCTATTCTGCAGCCCTAAAGCACAGTGCCCCTCAGCCGAGGTTGTCCTTGTCTCACCCCGGCCTTCCCGAGCCACATGGTTCCTGCTGTTCTACTGTGTCGATGACCAGGTTGGAGAGGTAAGGGACCGTACCCTGCACACCCTTGAACCCAGCAAATGTTAACTCGTAAATAAAACTTTTGCCAGATAACCAAGCGAACTGATACATTGGAAGGGTTCATGAATTCCTCCAAGGCACTGATACACCTCCTGCATCCTGACCCTGCCTTTGCACCATCTCCCTTCCTCATTGYAAGATTGGGACTATGCCCATTCTCATACATATAAAATCATTTGCACATGCAAAAGAAAAAAAATCCACGCTGTTGTGGACTGGGCAGAACATTTTACTGGAAATGGTTACCTACCTCATCTTACTCTTAACAGAAAATGGTTGAGGTAATCAGGAAAAGTTAATCAAAAGTTAATACTAAAAATGAGCGCAGAAACTAAACAATATTTGGTATCATTTGGGGAAAAAAATGAATTAAGGTATTTTCACCTACAGCTCTAGTACAGCTTTTACCAGACTGTACCTCCTAGGACCTAGCCAGGGAAACAAGATCTCAGAAGAAAAGTCTTTAATCAGATCTATGGGTTAAGGCAGGGAACCAGAGCAGATGGAAGAGTGCTCCACGTCTGGATGTTCCTGCACACCTGAGGATCACTCTTAAAAGTCAGCACAGGCTCAACATTCACACTGCTTCGCAGTAACACACTGAAGAACACCAGTGACCCCACAAAGGATCAGGTCACTGCAGGTAGCCTTCCAGATCAGCAAGAAAAACAATCACTGCYGGCTCTCAGCCATATTAAACACACATGGAGTGTAAACAGAAAATCATTAACTAGAAGATAATGAGAAAGAGGGTCAACTCAGCAAATACATTGATAGACTTTCTTCAAAAGCATCTTCTAGCTGCAGTCGTAAGACTCACATTCAGCATTCTGACCACAGGGAAACTACTCTTCTGCCTATATTTTTCTCTTCCTCGTTCCTGCCCTTTCAGATGAAGGGCAAGCCCTGGCAGTGGCCATTCACGGGAGCTACTGGTTTAGCAAGGGACAAGTAGCAGAGACTCTCATCCAGAGAAGATATGAAGCAGTGTTGGTGAGTTGGTAAATGGCAATGAGTATGGCAATGGCAATACAAGTATACACCACAAGAACACACACACTGCCTTAGATATCGAGGGGTTCCTTACATAAATATATTCACCTGAAATTTCTACCTTCCCATTAAATGCTTTAGCACTATATAAACAGCTCTATAGCTACTTCTGTGTGTTATTTTCTCATTGCATAAGAGCCTGTTCAGCCACAGGCAAATGACATAGTACCCAAATGAAYAGATTCCATTTCTGTGTGGAATGACAGATAGTAACTACTTTTCACTCTCATTCATCTCCTTCACAAGATGTTCCCCATGTGGTTTTATCTGCTGCACGAGGGCTTTGTGTCCTCACTTATCTTTTAGCTTTAGGTCTGAAATGCCCCAAGCCAGGTACATCAAAGGTATGAGAAACAGGCAGGAACTACATGGTAACTACATCTCATCCTCTCTACCACTGACTAGATTAAAGACTACAACATCAAGTCAAGAAATCAGTCACATTAACTTTTTTTGACATGGCTACCACAGTTTTAAAAACAGGGAAGTTGCTGACTTCCTCTTATATGCTATCTGATTAGAGATAAAAATTTTCTCATATTGTAGGTACAGGACAGACACACCAACATAAACTGAGCTCCTACCTAATACGAAACTGAATAGAGGGAATCACCCAACACATTACCTTTGAGGCTTCAACAAGCTTATCACAGGCTCCACATCGATACAAGTTATCATTTTCAAAGTATTCTTCTTCCACATACATATTCCATAGTGCCTCCTCCAAGCCAGCTACACCTTTCACAGCCACAGTTAAATCTAAGAAATCTTCCTACACAGAAGTACAACAACAGCAAGAATATAATGTAATAATTAATGCAAGTTAATGGTACATTAAAAATATATTCCTCACATCCACTGCAATTCATGGAATCACTTATTTTGCTTTCACCATTAACAGGCCAAAACACATATCCACAGAATGGGAATTAAGTCATTCTTATTTTCTTTTGTAAGCAAGATTTTTTTTTTATTAGAAAGAGCAGAGGGCAAAAAGGTGAAAAGACAGGTTTCACTGGTGTTACCTCACTGCTCAGCCCTCTGCTAAATGCATCTACTAAAAGCAACACTTTGCAGCTCAGAGGATGCAGTAATAGCTTCCCCACTCTGCTCACCCATGAGTCACTTCACCCATCCTGATGTAGGTGGTTTAGAAAATGCCAGCCAACATGCAKAATTTTCACACTTAAGTCTGAACTGCCCTACCCATATATCAAACCTAGCTTAAACACTAGGTAGAACATTGAAATACATTGAAATACAAAAATGTACTGGATTTCTGTTCTAAATTGGAGTTAGCCAACAAAAATCCCCACATTTAAGCCAAGAGAAAACATCTTCAAAGGCTGAATAGGTTCTGATGAAAAAAATAGAAAATGGACTTTACCTGCCTCTCACTGACATTTTTACATTCTTTGCAGACAATCTGATTGACAACAATCCCATGGTATAACCGGTTAATAATGTCATGACCTGAAGTCCCAACAAGTGAAGTTTCGAAAGCACTAAACAGAATCCGATTTAATTCCTGCACATCGTGCTGCCTCATTTCCTGCACGACAAAAAGCAAACTTGAAGGAAGGAAAAAAAAAAAGGTATCATTTGCTTTGATTATTTTTCTGCCTGACCTCTTCAAAACAACATAATGTGTGGCAAAGAGTTGCCTCAATGCTAACCCATGTAATTAGTGCCATTAGAGACATTTACTATTATTTGTCATTCTTAATTTAGCTATGCTTYTTCTGCTACAGGTATATAAAATATAATTCATATGAGATATTTGAGCATGTTGCCACTAAAACAAAGTTACAGAGGTCACTAATTTTAAAGGAAAAACTTTTCTCTCTGTTGCTTACTGGAAACAATTGACATGTACTTCATGTCGAGGTGCAAACAGCAATAGCTGACTCAATTAAAAAGCTACCTCCACAACTGAAAATRTGGCAATTCTTGGAGTGACAGACTTTAAAAACACTTCCTCTGCTCAGGACAAAGTTTTTCAATGATGGGGTCTGAGCTGGGGAATTGTACCTCATTGCTTTTCCACCCAAAGCTTTCAGTAAGGTCTGTTGTAGATGCTGCCTGCTGGTCTAGGAGCAGGAGCTGAGCAAATAACCGTTGAAGCTGTAATGGTATTATTCGAACCTGGGTGTAAGAAAAAAAATACCCATCAGATCRGAAAGTCATTTTAAACTAGTCATCTAAATAAACTGCAATAAAATTTAGTGCAAAAGTTATAATAAACAACCACTGCCYATGGCTTTTATATTCACCTTCCAGCTCTATAAAACACCAATCAAGCCTGATTCCCAAAATCTACCATCTTACCTAGTTACCTAATACAGCTAAGGAACATAAGTTCTTAACAAAGTCAAATGGATTAAAATTAAATCACTACTGTTGTATAGAACAAGCTTTTTATGTTTCTCATAATGCTAAATCCTAAGAATCCAACCATAAGACATATAGATTTATCAGGATTTATTGCTTTTTGAGGAGGGATTGGACACTGTAGTGTGAAGAGATGGGAAAGAGAAGGGTTAATGTCAACAAGTTCGATCAGCAGTCTATTTTTATCTTTGATTTACAAAAGAAAAACAATTTCCTAAGCAGCTTATTTTGTCACTTTAACCCAAGAGATAAATAATTAATTTCTGTAGTCAACATGAATAAGCACTTTTTAAGCAAAGATCAAATTCCAGTCCTGTGATATCTTGCCCACAGGTGGGCTGCTAAATCTTCAAAGAGCCTCACTGCAGGTAATCAGGCTGCACACTGGTGTTCAGTGTTTTTACTGATAACAAGCAAGTCATAGTACATACAGCAGAGAGAAAAATAGATAAGCACTGGGCAGATATCCCCTTTGTTCCTATACCATGTGAATGCAAGGACTTGGCTATCAAATTCAACAGGAAAAGGCTCAACATCTTCTACAGTAAAAGTTATGGTACTGAAAACTTGCATCTTCATGCAAAATAAAGCATCTGCCAACAAAATTTTCTTTCAGAATAAATATTAGATTTTTATTCTCATAAGAAGCTTCATGTGAAGCAAAATAATATCTTTCTGAATCAACATACAACAGATACTAAGTAAACAAAATTAACACCTTTGCCTCTGGTTTATTGATATCATCCAAAGTCCCAAGTTCTTCAGGTCCTAGAGAGAACAGTGCCTCTGCAATTAAAACAAAAAAAAATGCCATCAAATAGTATTAAAATCTTTTTTTTTTCTTTAAGGGATTTAAATTACCATGGCAGCCACAAATGCATTTTAACAAACTAAAATTCTAAACAATGTTTCTAAACATCATTTATGCCACAAAACTATTTCAAGTTAACAATGAAGTAYAATCAAACAGCAAGGATTTAGGCAGCAAGCTATTTACTTTTTCAGATATTGTAATGATTGTATTTAAAAATGAATGATATATTACGGACAGCAGTAATTTCTCTTATTTATGCAAGGGATAACCTGTCTACCCTTTAAGGAAACTAAAGGTTTACAATACTCATACTTTAGGCTGAAGTGACAAGAGTAATTTTACAGACCAATAGTTCTGTGTAATCTACACTTATTTCAGATAAACTGAAATAAATCAGCCAGTAGAAGGATGTGTATTTGCTGTTGTTTTCAGTAAGTTCAGTTTCAGTAAGTTTCAGTAAAATCAATTCCAAGATTACTTTAAGAAGTTTTTTAATACAGTACCTCTAAACTCTGGTGTGAAAAGCAGAGTCTGTAAAAGGGAATTGAGGTAACAGGTCCCACCCTGATTTTTGATTCCACTTAAGTTGGTGAACTCCCTGGGAGCTGGTGGCTCCACATCTTTGTGCTTTGACTTCCCTTTTCCACATTGGTTGTTGGAGATAAAGGAAAAATCTTCTTCAAATAAGTCCCCAAACATTGTGAAGACAAAACAGTCCTTAAAAAAATACAAAATAAGCTATTAACACAAAAGATGGAATTAGATCTGTCCTCAAGAAATATCTGAAGGATAGTCTTTTTAGTCTTGAATGAAGAATTTTCTTGTACTTCGTCTAATTCTGTTCTACTCATTCAACATAAAAAATGCACAAACAGAAGCATGCACTACCATAGCAAAAAAAAAAAGTGATTTAAAAATGATACTGTTTTAGAGCAAGTTGGAAGACATGCAACTACCGTTTCAGTTGTGTGCAGCAGCAAAAACAAACACCAAAATAAGCTGGTCCTTCTTCACTTCTAACTAACTATTGCTCAGGTTGCCCACTTCCATGCGGGGAAGGCACATAAGAAAGCCTGCACAGTGACAGAACAAGTTCACGTGCCCCAAGAGCATGTCTCTAGTGCTGGCCAATTCAGATAGGCAAAAACACAGTGCTATTTTGTCAAAATACTCTTTTGCTTCCAAATATTCAAGAGGCAGAAACTTAATGGCCACAAACTGATTCTGCTACTGTGAGCAACGCAGCAATGTTCAATCTATCTGTTCTATGGCTCTACTGCACCACTTTGCATGAGGCTTTTCCCTGTATATACCCTCCACAAAATAAGATTACAGGGTTGGAGTTCCTTCTTACTTAACATAGGGGGGGAAAAAGATAATTCGGGTCTCTCTGCATTAAGTTTTTCTCCTCTGAATACAGCTGCTACACATAAATCTGTCAAGGTACCACTGAGACACAGCTGTTAGCTTTAACACTCCTTCTGATATGTGCCTCAAACTTCATTTATTTTTCAGCTAGGCCTGTTTGCACTCCAGCATTTAGCTATGCAGAGACCATCCCCCATTCTATGCTCCCTATCATAAAGCACAACATGAGGATTTCCCCCCKTGCTCCTGACAGGCTCCCTCACCAGCAGCAACAACTGCCTCACTGGCAACCCACAGGACCATCCACCACTCCAGGGAGGTGCCTGCGCAGGGCACTCCCCAAGTCCCAAAGGGCAGTCRCTGCTCATTTCAGGATGCTCAAAGCACTTTTTGGGGGCCTTCCATTARCATATATTTCTATGTATATAATAATATAGTAATTACTTTATGTAATTCCAACTCCCTCTCAAGSCATGGTCAGCTCGGATCACGCTCAGGGCCTTGCCCAGCCAAAGYTGAAACAGCTCCAGAAAAGATTCCCCCCCCCCTCCCGGCCTCTGCCCCCGTGCTCGGGCGCACTCCCAGTAAAACTCGTCCCCTATCGCTCACGGGAGCTTCCACGTGAGGACTGGCCCCCGGCACCCCCCGGCCAGGCCCCGCCTAGGCCCGTGCCGAAGGGAGCCACGGGCTCCCGCACCGCACAGAGCGAACCCGCCTCTCCCTCCCAGCGCCCGGGGCCTGCAGGGCCCGAGCCGGCCGCTGTGCCCCGCGGGGCCCCGGCGCGCCCCACACCGGGTCTCACCGCGGAGCGCGCAGCCGCCGCCGCCCGGGGCTCGCTCCCTCAGCGCCGGGACGCGCAGCGGGGCCGCCCCCGGCCGCCGCAGCAGCAGCAGCGCCGCGGCCCGGCCGCCGCCGCCATGCCGACGCCGCCCGCCGCCACTACCCCGCCCACACGGCGGCGGCCACGCTCCGGGGGAGGACGGCGGGGCCCTCCCGGCCCCTTTTCCCGGTCCCTAACGTTAACGGCGCCTCCCGGCAGCGCCGGGCAGGAAACGGCCCGAAACGGCCCGCGGCGGGAGCGGCGCRCTGCCTGCTGGGAGTTTATAGCGCGACGGTGACGTCACCGAGGCGACGCGCATGTGCACGGGCGCCTTCTCGCATGGCCTTCTGGGAGCTGTAGTTCTCTGCGGCTGCCCTGTGCCGGGGCCTTCCGGGAGGCGGGCGGAGAGCGGCCCAGCGTTGCCATGGAGACACGGCTGCTGCCCCAGGGCGGCCTGGGGCGTCAGAGCCGTCAGTGCCGAGGCCTTTGGTTGGGAAAGGGGAAAAGAGAGTGTCATAAGAGTAAGATCTGTAAAACTGCGCTTGGAAAGCACGTGACTGCTCAGTGTTTCACTGTCATTTATTGTACCCATCCCTGGGACAGCCACAGCATCCCAGGCAACCACCCACTACCCGGCCTGGAGGAGGTCCACAGTGTCACCCCCATAACCAGGCAAGGGACCTTCAGGACGCCCTCAACACCACCTCCATAACCAGGGAGGAGTCCCAGAGACGCACTCAGTGTCACCCCTCCTCATCACACCCATAATGAGTGGGAGCCTTGGAGGATGTCCTGTCATCCCCATGRCCCATCCAGGGACCAGGAGAACATCCTCAGTGTCACTCCCTCCTGTGACCAGGTAGCAGGCCCGCAGGATGTCCTACATGTCACCTCCATAAACAGGCAAAGGGCCAGGAGGATATTCTCAGCATTACCCACTAGCTGCTGCAGTACCCACTACCCAGCCTGCTGCATCTCAGCTCAGTCCTGCTTTATGAGTTAACTTAGGCTCACCTGAGAGCATTTTGGAAGGCGGGGTGAGGCAGAACTGCATTAACTATGGGTATGGTCCCCATTTTGAGGTCACGAGGCCATTCCCAATGAAGCCAAATTTAAGCACATTCTCTCAACTCCTGCTCAGTGATGGGCACATTGGAGGAGAGCCACTCAGCTACATGGTGACCCAAATCACTTCAGACAGCACTAGGGATGTGGGAACACGCTGAAGCAATACAAAAATTAGTAGCTATAAAGGAAGCACGAGCTACAACACTTGCAGCCCAAGTTCTCGCCCGTATTTCAAGGAGACTTCCCTGAGGCTGGAGCTGCTTATCCTCTAGCCCCTTGGTCTTCCCCTGCAGGCATTGCACTGTCCTCCAGCTGTTTGCTCCATGACCCCTTAGGTGCCTTTCAGCTCYTTCTGATTGTATGACCCCACCAGACATACTTTGTACTAGAATTGCAATTTTAAATAGCAGAAAAGCCTAGCAACTAATCAGAGAAGAACAGATCTCTCTTTGGAGTAAGATAGGTATGCACAGATAATCTCAGTGTTGCACAACTTCCTTCCTAATGCTGTCATGAACCGGGGGGCACACTAAGTTGCACCTCATTTGCTGTCAGTGCTGACCCTCACAGCAGTCGTGCTGGCCTCATGCACGTTGTGCCCGTGGGATCACGGAGCCAAAGGTAGCGGTCACGCTATCCTCAATTTCCTCCCACTGCAGCCTTAAACCTGAGGTTGTCCTATCATTTCCCTAGTCTTTCCTCGCTATGCGACTTCTTACCTACATTCAAAGGTAGCTATCGTTTTGTACTCCCTTGAACCTAGCAAAGTTTAACTCACTTAAAAAAAAAAAAAAAAAAATCACTTAATCACTTTGCCAAATAACCAGGTCATCTGAGATACTAGGAAGTGTTAATGAGTTCAGTGAGTTCCTTCAAGACACTGATATACTTGATGTGCCCTGAGAGTGACTTGGCACTCTCTCCTTTTCACATTAAGCATGCTGTAAGATTTGGACTACACTCATCCTGGTATAAAAATAACCCAATCATTCAAGCATGCAAGACAGCACTGTTGTACATTGGGCAGAATATTTCACTACACAGTGTATGTTAAAAGCTGTCTCCCTTACCCCTTCCRGGAAATAGATGGTATTGTTTTAAAAAAAACAAAGCATGTTTAAATGAAAAAGTGTTACTTATTAAATTGATCTTTTTTTGTCCAATGATAATTTTTCACCATCTTTTTCATTCTGGAAATAATAAAATACTTTAGTTGCTATTTTTTTTTTCAGATGATAACAACATATATATTCTGGAAAGCTATTTTTTTTAGCTTTCACCTTAGAGCTTCCTATCTCTACTTCGAGGCTCAAAGATTTTGTTTTTTGAATCATCACATGCCAAAAAGAAACGAGCAGCTTAACCCTTCTGCCATTCCCCCAGTAGTTTCTCTACATTTGGATAAAATTACAAATATTGGAAAAATAAGCAAAAGAAATTAAAAAATTAAGTATGGGGAAACAWGCAGAAAATAAATCATAATTAATTTTGTTGTATTGATAATTGTATGGGACAGAAATGCCATGTCTTAGGTGTGCCYGTTAGGACAGAGGCTACAGGGCTCCAGCTTCACAGAGCCCTGCCTTAGCTGCCAGGTCAGTCTGCTTTTGGTGCTGTTGTACTCTATAGGGTTACTCTCTGATCCCTGGTACCTCAGAAGACCCCCTGGTCTATCTACTCTTTCCCCTTGATCGGAGCTTCTCCTGTTCTTCAGAAAAGTCATGTAAACATCTGTATCTGTGAAATCTGCCAAGTCTATTTTCATTTCTTACTGTGCTTCTGAGGTCGCTCTCCCTAGACTTGCGTTCCTTGGTCTTGGACATAGAGGAAAGACAAGACACATCAAGGAWCAAACAAAAAGTCCTAACAAATCTGACTGACATGCTGAGGAAACAGGTCTCAGTTGAATACTGGAGAATTCCAATGAGTGAGCAAAGGAGAAGGTCTTCACAYGGCCTTCCACATCAATAAGAAAACAAATCCCTGCTGATTCTCAGCCACAGCTAAGCATAAATCAAAGCAGTAAATCATTAACTAGGAGATAATGAAGAAGCAGCAAAACTCAGCAGATTATTCAGCAGGTTTCCTTCAAAAGCAGCTTCTAGCTTCAGTCAGGAGGAAGAAGCATTTTCATACTCACTATCCTCACCTCAGGAAAATGACTTTTTGGCTTTGTTCTCAGCTCCCTGCCTGGATTTTTCTCCTCCTCCTCATTCCTGGCTTTTCAGATGGAGGGAAGCTGCTGGTGGTGCCCATGGATGGAAGCCACTGGCTTAGCATGCGTCCAGTAGTGGAAAAGCTCATTGAGAAAGGACACGAAGTGGTGGTGATTACCCCAGAAGTAAGCTGGCAGTTGGGAAAGACACAGGCGTACACTGTGAAAACATACTCAGTGCCTTACACGTTAGAAGACCTAGATAATGTCTTTCATGACTACTTAATCAACCACTTGACAAGCCGGCCTTTCCCCCAGAATGTTCTAGCACAGTTTAGAAGCTCTATTGCTGTTTTTGGCACATTTTTTTCTCAATGTAAGGGCCTGTTTGGCAACAAGGAAATGGTACAGTATTTGAATCAAAGCAACTTTGATGCTGTCCTGACAGATCCTATCTCTATGTGTGGAGCTCTAGTGGGTAATTATTTTTCGATCCCTCTCATCTTCTTCATGAGGGGATTTCCTTGTGGATTACACTACACAGCAGCTCAGTGCCCCAACCCTGTGTCCTATGTCCCAAGGCTATTTACACGCAACTCGGACCGCATGACTTTCTTCGAGAGAGTGGAAAACGCGCTGGTTGCAATCCTGGAGCTTAGGTACTGTGACTATTTCTATGCAGAAGCTGTGAGCTTTTCCTCTGAACTTCTTCAAAGAGACATGACCGTGCTAGAACTTCTGGGCTCTGCTTCCATTTGGCTGCTGAGATTTGACTATGTGTTTGAGTACATCAGACCCGTGATGCCCAATATGATCTTTATTGGAGGTATAAACTGTGAGGAGAAGAAACCTCTGTCAAAGGTACGTTCTTTTTCTCTGGATCATACCAATGAAATGCAATTACACATTTTGCGGAGATTTAGTGCTGTTAAAATGTTCTTTTTAATAGTTTAATCAGTATTATCTTGATAGAGGCAGATGACTTTACTTGAATTAATGAGGATTTGCCGACAAGTCCAAAAAAATGCTATTTCATCTACTAACTACAAATTGCTATCCTGAACGAATGTATTTTTTTCACTCACCAGATGTAGCTTTGATTTCATTTCCATGGATTCTGGCATACATTTCTCTCTTCCTTGGCTAAAAATCACAAGACCATGCTTTGAGGTTTTTTTTTTTTTTTTTTTTTAATATATATATATATATATATACACTCTAGGCTCAAAGTCAGTTATTTTGCTTTGGTTGTATTTTTTGTGACATATGACTTCCTAACTGGCTCTCTGTGTGAATATATTGCTCTTTGTAGGTTACGGTGAAACCTAAATTTCCAGATGAAATGCGAAGAAATGAACTTAAATATTATCTCTAAAGACAGATACATATAGGCAAAACTCAGATATGATTTTGTTTCTATTTCTTGACAGGTACTCTTGATACAATTGTTCTCTTGGATTTTGAAAAAAAATCTAGAAATTCTATTTTGATTCTTACTGTAAAGTGTATAAAACAACAGCACTAAAACAACAACTAATTCTATATGGGCAAAATGCAAGACATACATTTCCGTCYGTGTAATTACTCCTTTTGAACTGTGATTGCATGTATCAGCTTGCACTATAATGCCTTTGGAGCTAAAGATTTTTCTTTCCTTCTTTTGTGTTTCTTTTATATGTTTTGAGGGGCTCATGTAGAGTCCATAGGACTTCTCTCAGGTGAATAAAGAGCAAGTTGACCACGGGTATTTCCTCACAGTAGGTTAAAGACATGGGCACTTTGGAGTTTGAGATTTAAGAATTACTGCTGGTTGCACGAC